CGGTGTCCCCGCAGCACCACGAGCTGACCTCGCTCTTCGAGTGTCCGGTCTGCTTTGACTATGTCCTGCCCCCCATCCTGCAGTGCCAGGCCGGGCACCTGGTGTGTAACCAATGCCGCCAGAAGTTGAGCTGCTGCCCGACGTGCAGGGGCGCTCTGACGCCCAGCATCAGGAATCTGGCTATGGAGAAAGTGGCCTCGGCAGTCCTGTTTCCCTGCAAGGTAAGCCCAGGGACAGCCCGAGCACTTCTGCCCGGCAATCTTCCGAAACTCCGTCCTCCAGCCCTCTCCTAGGCCCTAAGAGGTGGATGGTATCTCTCGTTTAAAAACAAGACCAAAACTGTTTACACTTTGTCCACTCTCCCTGTGACCACCTGTCCACTTGGGGAGTTGCTCTGGGTTGACATTTGTCTGAGCACTGACCCCAGATTAATTGGCTCTAGCTGGTTGTTGGAACACAGCGCAGCTCTCCCAGCCCAGAGCCTGACCTCCGCAGACCTGTGCCCGGGTGTGCTCCACGGGGCTGGCTCTTCGCTGGGAAGGTGGTTGAGAAGGGAGATGGGCCGGCTCAGTTCACCCTTCACCGGCGCTCAGCTGGTAGTGGGTTCCTCCTGGATTCTGCTTCCACTGTCTGCGCACCCGGACACGTGGGAGCTCTAGGGAGTATAGCTTTAAAAAATGTGGTGGTGGTGGTGGTGGGGGGGGTGCCTGGAGCCTGTTTTCCTCCAGCAAAGAGAGAACCCTGCCAGCCACGCCTTTCCCTGTCCCTGGCCTTCCAAGGCCTAGTGTTTGTCCCCAGGGGGTCAGCACAGAGGGTCAGCACAGGCATTTAACAGGGACACACAGGAGCCACCCTTAGCATTCTGTAAAGCCAGTCACTTTATTCTTTAGTTTAAATTGTCACCTATTACCGTGCCCTTGTGAGAAATGAAGACCCCAAAGACAAGAAAAGTACAGCGAGAAGACTAAAAATCTCCTGCTCCTCCCTATCACTGTTAAGTGTGTCTCCACAGACTCTTAGAGCCCTGTGTACATTGCACCCTTGAGGCTAAATATAGATGGTGGATGTCAGTGTGTCTGAAGGTTTTTTATACCCATACATAGACATAAGTTTTCCTCCAAAAATACCTTGTGCAACTTGCTTTTTAAATTGATATATTTTCTTTTATATCAAACCTAGTGGAACCTCGTCATATTTTAAAAGGTGGCCTAATATTACATTATGTGATTACATTATGTGATTATATTGTAACATCTGTTTACCTCCATCCGCAACTTAGAATTCTTCAGGAGCAGTGGCACAGACTGACCTGTCTCTTGCCTCCTTAGAACACAGCTGCACTGCAGAGGTCACTTCCTGAACCTGGAGGTGGAAAGACTGTCATGGAGACACATGAGTTTCTCTTGTACAAGTGACTTCTGCCTTTGGAGCTATTTAGCCTCTTGTGTTTCTCCTCAGTGCTGCCTTTTTTTTTTTTTTTTTTTAAATAGGGCGAGAGCCTGTTTTTTAAATTAAAAATAATTCACCAGAGAATTCAGGCCTGAGACTTAAGTTAGTACAATGAGTGAATTAATTTGGTCTTCTGCCCTGCCACCAACCAGGTTTAAAATAGAATATTCAAATAAGGGTTTGAATCCATGTTTGGACTGCGGGGTTTCAGATACCCTTAGTGAATTCCTCTGCTTTCAAGCCCTCCTCCTATACTACTTACCTGGAAGAAATGGCCTTCTACCATTCCCAGGTGAGCACTTGGCAACCGCCAGCATTCCATGACTTATTTCTGAAACACAATCTCATAAGAGCAAGGGAGGGGAACAGTGGAGCCCTGTGGAGTGTGGAGCTACACTGGGGTACCTAGGGCTCTGGTTCCTGGGAAGCACGTGTTCTGTCCTAAAAAACGTTCTTGAAAAGTGTTCTCTTTGGAATCAGGGAGAGTCCCGTGTACGCGGCAGTGATCTTGCAAGTCTTTGTAAGAATGCAGCTGGGCACAGCTTCAACTTTGCCAGCTGAAACTTTAAAGGGTCATCTTGTCATCTACAGACCAGGAGCCATGCTTAGAATGGACCTTGGGGTCGATCTCGTGTGTAGAGATGTGTGAGATTTGTGAAGGTGAAGTATGCATGCCTCACCTCTGGTTAGCAGGGCAGCTCTCAGATAGTATGGAGAAGCCAAATTTGAGTGTATAATAGGCCTGGAAACGAGCCAAGAGATGTGCTTTGGCAAGGGTGGGCCAGGAAAGGACGAAGGTCTGTGTCAAACTGAAAACCCTTCAGCCTGCAGTGCCAAGCTCCTGGAAATCCTAGGGACTGCCTTGTCATTGTCCCCACCTGCACTTGAAATTTCCCTTAGGAGCCAGCTTATTCCATTTACCCACCTTTACCAGTGTTGGGTAAAGTAGCAGAGCCCAGGTCTCCAAAACTGCATGGTTTTTGCCCCAGTTTGCCTGAAAGACCCCCTTTGGGGTCCTTGCTTTCCTCACTATTAAAGGAGATACCTGACTGCTGGACTTCTAAGTGCAGCCAGCAATCCATGGAGAGAGGGGAGCTACGGGCAGCCTCTAGGCACCTTCCATGGGCCAGCTACTTTGCATGTGGCAGCTTTCATGAGTTTGCTATTTTTTTCCCCCACGTGAGGAGACTCATGCCTGCAGAGTGCTTAGGTGGACTGACTTGTCATGTCACACATGAGCCACTGGCCCTAAGGTGAACCCTGCTGGTCTCCCCATACAGGAATGCACTTTACTCCTTACTGAATAGAAATTTTGAATCAAACATAGAAATTTTGAATCTGAATTTACACCCCAAGTGTCCAAATCACAACTCCAGGTTGATAGTAGTAACAAAACTATCTGGTGGATGAGATCCCCAGAGAGGCCTCTGACGGCCTGGTCCAACACAGTTCCCTGCTGGTTGTGCTTCCGCTGGCCAAAAAATGGACGTGTTGCCAAATACCTAGGTGTAGGTCCATTTAATTAAAGGCTCAAGTGTGGCCACACCTTTGAGACAGGGTGCCACCTGCCTTGTTAGCTGGTCTCTGCTTTTCAAAAAGGGTGTCTGTCAGCCAGCTTCCCCCTGGGTGGCCACAGTGCACACTGTGACTAAGAGTGTTGACAACCCATTCCATAGGCAGCTCCCCCTCTGTGGGTGTGGGTGTGGGTGTAGGAAAGTGAAGGGCGACGTGTCTGCCGACAGCTCAGCATGCTCCACCGTCCGCAGTGCCTCCCGCCATGGGCCTGGGCTTCTCTGCACACCCCAGCCCACGTGCCTCCCCACGCATCTTTCCACTGTTTCTCTGTCCTCTTTAAAGGTTTCTGGTAGCATGTCTTAAAAGTATTGAATATGGATGCCTCAGCCAGACAACTCTGCCCCGTAGTTAGATTGTAGTGGTGTTGTTAAAAAAAGCCACACAGGGTCACTCAACCTGGCTGAATGCTTCCAGGCCCTCAGTGAGGACCAACACTGGTCCAGTAGAGAGCAACTGAGAGTGCCGGAAGGGAAAGGGTATGCCCGGGAGAGGTGTGTGACACATGGCCTCAGGGCAGGGGACCTCAAGGAGCAGTGCAGGTGGTGGGGAGCCAGAGAACTTGTGCCCTCCAAGGAGGATAACCCTAGGTTGAGGCGAGATCACTGGAGATCAGTCAAGCCCACAAGTTCCAAACCGTCTGGTCAACACAGTAAGACCCCCGCCGTCACAGAAACTCCCACCGAGAAGGCAGCCCTCTCTCACCTGGGGATGCGAATGGAACCATGCCAGACCTTTATAATTTTTAATAATTTTTCACCAAAAGCCCAGAAATCTGAACTCTTATGTTAAATATTTTTAAATTTTTTTACCAGCATGGGCCATATCCACAGGTAGAGCCAGCCTGCCTGCCATTGCTGCCCAAACTAACCATGTCTGCAGGCCAAATTCCAGCTGCTGAGGACAAGCTCCCATTGGTCTTCTAGAAAGCATTCACTGAGCCTACCGCTTCTCCTCCAATTCTTATCATACGTGAACTTTGGAACTGAAAATTGGGGTTTTATTTCTTGTTTTCTTTTTTCCTTCCTTGCCAAGAGAATGTTCGTTCTGGCCATCCAGAGACTTCAGCTGTTGTCCTGGTGACTGGGTGTTTGACTTTAGACAGCCAGTTTATTTTTTGCACCAAGGGTCCTTAGGAGAAGAGCTTAAGTTAAATGATGATATCGAGGTTCTTTCTCACTCTGAAGTTCTGGAATCTAGTAAGGGTCCCAGTCAGCAGACAGGAGCTGGCTTTGTCTGATTTTGTCTAGTCACGTGCTGCCTGAGCCTGAACCTGAACCTGAGCCTCTTCCTTCATTGAGGTAAAGAAGGGTGATCTCACCTGGCGCTGGGTGCTCTGAGGCCAGATCAGAAGTGCTGTCCAGGGCCTCGGCCTCCCTGATCACAGGAGGGAGGGTGGAGTTAGGGTGCTGGTGAGGTGATGGTGATCACCTCAAAGTCTGAGGAGATAGCGGTGAGTCAAAACAGTCTCCAAGATCTCTTCTTAACCTCAGAAGACCCCCCAAAGGCACGGCCACTTAGGAGACTGGCCCTGCGGCCCTCACTGCTGCTTGAAATTGACAGGTTGCCCGTAAGAGCATAGAATGTGCTGTCAGGGACGAGGAGCCACATTAACATCAAGGCTCAAGGCTTTAAAGAGCAAAACTGGCAATGGGACATTCAAAATTGAGAACAGAAGCACAAGAATATTATGTATCAGACTAAAATGTAACTCGACACATCGACACATCAAGGGCCAGAGACTTCACAGGTCTCCAAGACCTGGAGCTGGAGTGAATTTGCATTACAGTTGATCCTTCCTACAAGCAGGATGGAGAGGAACCAAAATGTCTGACTAGCTAGTCTGGCCTGGAAAGTGCCAGCCTGAGTGTGTGTTAGGTGCTCCCTGCTTCTGCACCAGAGCCCTTTTTAAAAGCCCTAGAAAGCACTGCGTGACTGTAGAAAACCTCAGGGCCAGCGGCTTAAGGGACACATTTGTGCCTCTGACAAAATTTACAGTAAATTGCATTTTTTATTAAGACCCTCAAGGTCCTCACTCCTTGAAAGGAGCACACAGTAGGTGCACACTGGCTACACTGAAAGCCAGTCTTCAGAGCCACGTGTATTGCTGACGGCTTGTGCAGGGCCTGTCACACACACACACACACACTGTGTGACCAGACTGTGGTTCCAGAAAAGGGAAAATAAGGACGTTTTCCTG